CGTGGCAAAAAAAGCATTATATTAGGAAACTAATTGGAAAGCACCTTCTTGGGCAATACCATGCAATTCAGCTCAAAGGTAAAATGTTTCTTAAGAAACGTACTGTACATAATAAGGGATGAATTAGGCCACAGACACGAAACTTATTGCAACTTGGCCATGCTCAGCATTTATTGGACACTTGGTTTCCAGTCAAACCCTAAAGTTAGAACAGCTAATGCCTCATTTAGCCTTTATTGATTCAAGATGCCAGGTTTGTTGTGTGAGGGATTTAAGGCTCTACGCCTCATCTGGAAACCTCCTCCAAAATGAATGAAAAAAGATTGACAGCTAACTTAACCAATATTATTAAGTCGTGATGCTCAGGGACCTAATGACTGTATTGGAGCTGCGAGCATCCAATTATAAGGTCCTGGATTCGAATCCTATATTCAAAACTCATGATTACATTTCGAACCAAGATTAGTGAAATTATGGTTTTAACTTGGTCATCAATGGCTCTACAGAAATTAATTTGACAAATGTACCATTGTACTGAGCTCACCACCATTATTGGGTTCATGAAATGAGTACTGCTTAGTGGGAAATCAACAATGGTCTTCCCGTGGAGAGTGGTTACCACAATAGACAATGTGGAAATTCCACAGATGCTCAGTTTCCACCAACAGATAATCATGGCCTCACACTCACGCGGGTGGGGAGGCGATTTGAGTGACTTTGTTGATGTAAAAATTTTAAACTTGGATTTAAAAAGTCACCGTGGCAGAGCGATCTTACCAATGTTCAGTGTTACGGGATGCCTTAAATCAGCCAAGTAACGGGTGCCTCTGTGCAACGTTCCAGCCAAGTGTTATGATTTTCACTCGGTCAGAGCCATGCAACCGGATTGAGTTTCAAACTGCCGAGCCTCTAACTCGGACAGCAGAAATGTGTCCCCGAGCCAGTCATGAGCGCCTATAACACACTCCCGAGTGGGGCAATTGAGCTATCAAGGCCCTCTGAAGAACACGCTCAAGATATGACAGCATGGCGCTTCAGGAAGCAATGCTATTCGAGCTTCATCCCGTGTCTGTAATGCAACACCAAAGTGATTAGCGCACCACCCAAGGTTACCGAACCCAAGGTCTCCCAGGCCGGACTCATGAGGGCATGTCTCTCTTCTCGCCTGGTAAAAAGGGGGCTTGTGATGGACGCACAGCAAAGATAGCCATCACTTATGGCCAAAAGGGGTTTTCATTACAATGACATTACCATTTCTCTATGGCACTAGAGTGCGGTATTTGTGTTTTTTTAAATTCAGAGATAGAACCCAAAGTGCAGAAAGGGAGAAGGTGAATTTGGGGGATTGCGAACCATTACCAAATTCGCCATCAATGCGCAAGAGCTGATAAGAAAGCCGCCGTCTTCTCATTTAAGAGCTCCAGGCCACACGATACTCCCAAAGCCCCCTTTTTGCGTGGCAACGAGAGGCGGCGAAGGATGGCCTCGCGATGATCTTTTTTTGTGCTTGGCTAGCGCCTTTAAGTAGTGGGAAGTGTCCTTGTGTAAAGGCACTTGCCCCCCTCCTTGTAGGCAGCCAACAAGAGCCATCCCAACACAAAAAAAAATTAAGTTAAATATTGTATCCTCTATTGAAGCTGACAAACACCTGCCCTGACCCTTGTTCCTGCCAAACCCCGTTGAACAGCTGCTCCATTAAGACTTCTCTCTCAACACCCAATCAGTGAATTAACTTCACCTCCAGCTATGCGGGCAGGGCGGGTGTCACGCTCGACGAACAAACTGTGCACTTCATGTTGTTCATTATGCTTTCATAGTTCTGTAACTGCAACGTTTGTTTCCGTTTAACTTGTGCATCCGTAACAAACGATCGCACACACCGTACATCGCCTGACTTTTGCAGTGAAAATTCTCCTCATCAACATTGGTGTGTGTGGGCGGGGGACTCCATTGGTGGATACAATTTTCCGGTGCCAATCTGCGAAAATAATTCCATGCTTTTGCGTGGTTTCTCATGCATTAAGATGAACAATAGGATTAAATTTCCACCACTTCCAAGGGACTCTTATCCATGGGTAACTGCGGATAACATAATTCATTTGGCAACACTGCTGTGTGGCTCCTCTGACCCACATGTAACCACCAAAGGATTTACTAACATGTTTTAATTGACCAGGTAAGGCCCACTGAGCTATATAGCTCTATTTCAAAAGCAACCTGGTCACAAATGATAGCTCGACGAAGTGGCTTATCATGTGGAAAAGTATAGCACCAAAATACTCTAAATGCGTGTTGATTCTTAATGTGGACTGGAAATCCAGAAGACCCGAAAAATCCACGCAACCACGGGGAGAGAGACATGCAAACTCCAAATATACAGCAGGCGTCAGGGTCGGGATCGAACCCATGAAGCTCCTGTATACCAGGCGAGGTGGTTAAGACACACCACTAAGACTACAGGAGTTTCTCCAAATTACATGGAGGTATGGATATAAATAGCAGTGGAAAATATGGCCACAGATAAGAGGAGTTTCACTGTACTACAGTATATTCTGAAGTGAATAACCGATACATTAACAATCAACTGGTTATCAAAAACACTTTGGCCCTATGAATATATAGCACTGGAATTCTGCTTAGAAATTTAGAATTTTAATGAGTAGCCCAGGAAGGTCAGGCGATGATTGCCGTACAAAACTTGAGACAACATTGAGAAAAATTATTGCCTTATTTTATTAAATGTCTGGCAAAGGCTATTTGAGATTAGTCGAGTATCGCTGCAATAATAAAGGCACAGTGCCATTATTGATGTATGTTGGAGTAAGGCCAAATATCGCAAACAAGATTACAACTGCCACATCTCGCAGCTCTAACATGATTCACACAAATTGCTAACTGTCATTGAACTTATGATTAGATGTAAGTAAAATTCACGGAGACAGATGCTATCTATTACAAGTCGCATTAGGACATGCACAAATTCCACTTCAATCAAGGTTAAACTTAAATTAGGTTGTACATTTGTGCAATCTGTGCTCATAATGCTCCACTGCATCACCCGTTTGGACGATTTGCACATTATGACTTAGAGGATATTCTGGCCTATTCAAAATTAATTTCGAATTGATAAACAAAATATACCTTTAATGCCAGTTATTAGAATACATTGCTTTGACATTTGAACAATAAAACAGGTTTCACAAGGTGATTTTATATTGGTTGTTTAATGCTGGCCTACTTAGAATCCAGACATGCGCGGGTTAAATTTTACTTATTTTCATCGCACAAAGACGGATCCCTGCATTCTCACAGACTGCAGTAAGAAGAAGCACCCTTAGCGAGAACCAATTAAGGCTGGCACGGTGTACGAGGGCTTAATGTCACCAGCACCATGTCCAGCTGCCTTGGTCTCATCAAAGTTGATGTTTACACACTGCACCAGGTACTCATTTAAGGCTGAGGCGACCCAGGGGAGGTTCAAGACTACTTCAGATTTTCGCCACTGATGTAAGCCACAAACGAGAACCAATCTCGGCTTGCCGGGTTGGTAGCGCAGAGCCCTAACCACTACGAAGAAAAAGATCTCCTGTATAGCCTTAACAGGCTGTTGAGGCAAAAGCTGTTAGCATGCGCCTATGAAAGCTGGCACGGTACACGAAGGGGTGGGTGGCCAGCACCACGCCCGGCCGCCTTTGTCTCCTTAAGTGGCTATGTTTACACACTGCATCAAATACTCATTTGAGGCCGAGTCGACCTAGGGGTGGTCCAGGACCGGTTAAGATAATCGTCACTGGTGTTGACAGTAAGCGGCAATCGAACTCTGGTCACCGGCTTCGTAGCGCAGCGCGCTAACAGTTGCATTACCACTCCCCATCCTAACCACGACACTACCACACACACACACGCACCAAGCCACGTGATTATTGACTCAAAGACTCGGATGCATCATGGTGATGCTACGTAGCTCACCACTTGACACATAAAGCTCAAGTGGCGCTTTGCCCTGAAGCCGTCCACCTGGCCTAGGCTCGGAACGCCGCACTCACTCGCACCGCACATGAGCACCTGCACGGGGACAAGGACGCGTGACTTCGTCAGGCGCGAATCTGTGCAAGGCAGCCGCTCTTTTTCACGGTATATGATGTATGCCTGCACACGGGTATTCACTGCACACTACAAATGCTTGTTTGTAAGAAACGGCCGGTGATGCAATCACATCCGAATAAAGTTGAAATATGCATTTTAATCATGGCTGTGGAAACTACAAAAGTGTGTCTATAAGATGTCCGCTGGATTACACTCAATTGGCGACACTTTATGTAAACTTGACTTTTTTCAAGTAACTTTCCTTGAAATATACTATTGTTTATTTTAACTGCCATTTTTTGTTATACTGTACCAGGAAATGTGTGATGCGAAATGTTCTCACTGCATTATTGTTCTTATTATTTCACGCTCCCATTTATTTTGTGGGGTGTCCTAGCTGTTATATCTGGCTTTCTATTAAATAATGTGAGTTATTTGTGAACTACGCACACTGTGGATGATATGAGTCACAAATTGAACCACGATCTTAATTTAAAGGCGCTATGTAAACAGCACATTAGTGTCGAGATGATTGTGATGATGATGTGTAAGACAAGCCTGCAAAAAATGTTTCACAACGTGCACGCACACACCTCCATGAAACATGTACTTCTACATGTCATACATTTGCATAAGGCACATGTACTTGTGAAAAATAATAATTTACATTTCTAAAATACCTTTCAACCAGAGGTCAAGGTGCAGGACAAAAAGCACACACATGCAGGCTTACACCAATAAACTCTAACTCCAAAACAATCCAAATGTATGTGTGCGTGAGCTAGTTCTACTGATATTTCGGCCGTGGTTTAGTGGTAATGGCCTCAAGGTGCACATGGCCTGGCACAAGCGTCGTGGTGACATCACCGCCACTTGGTGGCGAATGGCGGTTGTTGTTATTCTACTGAACTTACCTGATCAAAATGTGGGTCTTCTCCTCTCTGTAATGACTTGGACAGAGGCTTTTCCTGCAGGCACAAACAAGATAATGCAAAAAGCCAAGTGAACATCACATCATGCCCTTGTCCCGTAGAGCACTGGGTCTACGAACGCCACATGCTGTGAGAGTTTAGAAACAATAACATTTACAATGCATGTGTTAGTGGCACGTCTTAATCGTATATATATATTTTTTTTAAATTGAGAATGTTTTTCATCAGAAGCAGGACACTTTGTTATTGCTAAATCTTTTTTTTTCATTTAAACACAAAAACGAGTTGACCTTTCATCGGCGTAAATGGCTCAGATTAAGCCTTACTGTGGTATGGCAAATGCATTCACGTTAACTTGACACGGCGTCTTGATAATACATTGAACAGTCAGTTGAAACTGCATCAATACATTTGTAAAGACAGTACGAAGGAATAGAGGGAGAGTATTGTTCCCCGGGACAACGGTTACTAATGATGGTGCTGCTAATGATGGTGCTATTGATGACTGACGGGACGGCAAGCGTTGACAGGGTCACGTGATGGGATCCAGGCAAAGTGTATTCAGGGCGGAAATTGACGGAGATTGACAGGGCCAGCGCGAACCGGAGCTGGTGGCTGTTGGTGGTGTGGGGAGTCGCCGTCGCCTCCATCGTCTTCAAGATGTCTTGGGACTAGAAGCTATGTTGTCTCAGAATAGAGTCGTCTAATTACCCAAGCGTGTGTAGTCACTCGCGGTTACTCGTTAAGTTGTCAGCGGACTTTATTCATAATAAATATACGTAAAGACGAGTCGGTGTCTCTGAGGGATACATTACGCGTGTAGCACAATGGCTCAAGTATATACAGTAAGACCTTGGATTGCGAGTAACTTGGTCTGCAAGTGTTTTGCAAGACGAGCAAAAATTGTAAATAAATATTAATTTATATTCTTAGTTTTTTCGGTAAAGTCACGTTGAAGAGAAACAACAAAATAATAACAATAAAAATTCTCACGACGTTTCACGAAACGTCGTGAGAATTTTTATTGTTTTATATATATTATATTATTTTGTTGTTTCTCTTCAACGTGACTTTACAGAAAAAACTAAGAATATGAATTACTGCAGTCACGAAAGCTTTAAATCAAAAATATTAATTTGTTAAACGAACGAGGTCTTGCAATACGAGTAGTGTATGTATACGCTTTGTCTGCCGAGTGTCACGTGATCACAACTGATATACGAGTGCTTTGATATACGAGTGCTTTGTATTACAAACGAATTATGCTCGCAATCCAAGGTGTTAATGTTTTCTTCTTCGTGGACCAATCGGATGGTTCATCATCATTATGGAAAATCAAGAGTAAAATTAGATTTTTTTACCATTCTCATTTTACAATGTCATTCGTAACCATAATTTACAGCTCTGAATTCATCGCTTGACCTCCCCACATGCCATGTTGGTCAACGAAGCTCATCGGCCATACCTCACCACTCTGGTCAGTGGAGATTCATATAAAGGGGGATAAGTTCGACGCTAATGTTAGCGATGGCCGGGGTGAAACTCAAATCGCTGGGTTCCCAATGCAGTGGCACAAGCGAACGAAGCTACTCCTTTTACACCGGGTGCCTTTAAAGCCAGTCTTGACAATGCTGGGGTATTTTTTAAACATTGCAAAGCATTAAAATAAATATTAAGATGTTGGCTCGGGGGTAGCAAAAGCTAAACGCAACCATATACTAAACTTTATAAAACATGAAATAAATTCAAATGATTGCTTCTCTTTGGACATGGAGGGAAATGAGGGCATAGGCAATTCAGGAGAGAGGAGACAAGCCCACAATGCACTGCCACCACGATGCGTTGGGGACAAAGATCAAAGCCACATCGGGCCGTACCCAGGACAACAGCCCAGCCTGGCTCAGAATGAGTTTCCAATGGCTGGTGAAACGCAGCACAATTCTTCTGCAGAGGTTGAGTGAAGTCTTTGGCTTATGATACAAGTTCGGTAGGTGGGGGGGGGGGGGGGGGTAGGCTGGTTGGGCTAAACGTAGCCTTCATTAATGTTAAACAAAAGGACTGAGATGTTCCTTAAAATCTTCTGTGGACATCTGGAACGCTCTTACTTCTGATATTAGGAAGTCACTGGAGCTATGCACTTTTAAATCTAAATTGAAAGTTATTTATTTATAAATGTTTTTTGTGTTTAGTTTGTGTTGTCCTTCAGACCGCAGCACCTCCAACTAGCACGGTTGGCTACGTACGGTGTGAAAGAAGGTCTACACACATACACTTTATAAACATTTATACGGCAATAGATTTCCATAAAATGCACCTGTATTCAACTACTATGCATGCCAGTTGAATATCAAACGCCGGTATTTGACTGAGCTCTGATGACGGGGAACATGACGTGATGGGGGAATGTCGTGTGCGCAATCATGCAACAAACAAGCTGGCACCAAAATCGCCACAAATCATCGCCTTCGTCAAAGTCGCATTTATGCGATGCTTCGCTCGAAACCACACTTTCTCCCCACTGCGCAATCTATCAACGGCAGATGCTGCACCGCGGCAGGCATCAAGGATTCAAAAGATGCGAGCGAATGCTTCATACCAGCAGCCACGCAACAAGTCGTGACATAGTAATGACAGCGCTACACGCGTAGAGACAGCAGATTAACTGCGGGGGACATCTGATCCAGTCTTGTAAGCCCCTAGAAAAAAAAAGGAAAGGCCGCACCTTTGTGCAACAAGTGTCAGCCAAAATAAACCGCTCATGGTAAATAAGCAATTTTCTGAGCCAAAACAGACCCAGCTGCTTAAACATCAAGCTGCCAGCTAAAGCCTATTCAGATCCTTATAATGAAACGAGAGGCTCAGGGACACAAAGTGTCCTTCTTCTTACCAGAGACAAGAGAAAATCCCGGGCACATGGCAGCATTGCAGGATAAGTACAAAGCAAAAATGAGGAAGTAAAACAACACGCCTGCCTCTCTGTGTATTAAAATAAAACTGCGCTATGTAGACATGCAAAGAAAGTCTGAGCTTGAAACTTTTTTTTCAACAAAAGTGGCAATCAACTCCATTGAACATACGGCTAGCAATTTGGGAAGCATCATCACAAATACCCAATAAAGGACAAGGACATCAATGACGATTATTTTTTGTTAAATCATGTAAATACCACTTATGTATGTTGAACTTCTTTCGCACCGGACGGAGCTAACTATGATAATCGACTTTGCAAATGTGTTCAAATAAATCATTTACAAAGAAGGACTTCTACAACATGCCAGTTAAGGTGAATCTAAATCACTCGTATTCCTGACATTTCATTGAAATTCTACATTACGAAGGAAATAAATGGTCCATCCACAGGACAAATACTGCTCACTTCCCACAAAGCAGTATTCATTTAACCAAAGTCATAAATGTGATGGATCAAGTGATGCACTGACTGGGGTTTGAACTTGCAACCTTCCCACTGTGCATCAAGCACTCTGCTCCAGCACCCTGCAATCAGATGAATACATGTCGTGCAAAAAAGATAAAGGTGCAGCCCTGAAATAGCGTCATCACGCCACTTTTTGCAGGAGAGCCTCCATGAGAGAGAGCTCCTATTGACACTTCCAGGGTGAATAGGAGCTTCCAGAGTGAATTGGAGCACTCTTAAATCCAAGTTGCAGGGTGTGGGTCCTGTTCACCGCTCAATCTCGGAACGCGCAAGTGGTTCAACTTTTAATTTTATTTAGAGAGGCATAGCGCCACTGTTTTAAGACTGCACGCACCGCACAGAACTGGAGCGACACGACCGCACCCTACGATAGCTGGCGTCAGACTGTGCCACACGCACTCCCATACGGTCTTTTACTTCCGATTCCGTTACAATGAGGTAAACGTATGCAAGAGGAATGGAATCGGAAGAAAAACTGATGACGTACGTGTACATCATCATACTTACTTATTCCGCACTGGCCAGACGTCTTTGAAGGGGTACGAGTTACCCACACCCAAGGCCCGCCAATCGACTGTGTTGTACCCATTTATATTGCTAGATGGACATAAGCGGGGGGGAGGGGGGGGGGATTAAAGAAGGTTCAGTGTGTGAACCGTTGCACCACGGCAGCATCCCCGCATCTCCGATCAGCACGCTCGGCTATGTACGGTGCGAAGGAAGTTCTGCATACAATACGTACGTTGTGGTGTACCCAGAAATAATCATTCCTCCCAGTACACGGTGCTCGCATTCCTAAGCAGGAGCGCACACACAACCTCCACTTTCCCACCAAGTCGTCGGGAGCCCGCCCCGTAGGCCAACAAAACAAGCATTTCCTAGTAACTGGATATGGCTCCCACTGCGCTCACCCTCATGGGTTCACTGTGTCTCGGGTCGCAGCTCCCGGGGCTAAAAACGGAAGCGTTGCATCATGCCGCAAAAACGACCCCAGGCGTGCTAAGCAGCAGCAGCAACAAATCCCTGGTTGAGTCGGTGCATGCATGGAATCATGATGCGCGCACGGAAACGATTTTGTGTATTTGCATGGATGTAGATGTAGATCCCTTTTTAAAGTCCACTGCTGGATCAAGGCCTCTGTGTGCCGTATGAGTCACGGAGTGCGGTTTGGTGAAGGCGGACAGCATAGACGTGGCAGCACATCAGAAAAATAATATTTATTTATACTGGAGGAATCCGATGAGGTATAAAACTCTTGTTTACAAATGTCCAGTAGTTTTTTTTTTACAGATGTCTAGTCCAGGTGATTTGGTCAGATGTAAATTGTATACTCCATACGGAACAGGTTCAACGTGGACACCTGCAGCCACAAGAGGCACAGCATTTTCTACAACAGCAGCACATAAAACCCATTCTTTCAGGAAATTGTGACCCTCTATGATGACAATTCATTACATCGTGTCAGGGACGAATCATTATAATGCTAAATGTTTGATATTTGCCCTTGCCTTCCCTCATAATAAATCCCCCACAATCCACCATTATACTCCTGTTTCTAACCTTCAGGCGCAATCTGTCTGGGCGGCTCTGTGGTCAATGC